CCAAAAGGAAGATGGGCCCCCACAACAATGACTCTACTCTGTCCAGAAAGATGCCATGGTACCTAAGAACATTACTCAATGATCAGTTTTGGACTGAAAACTCTTCAGGACAGTTCTAAGATGAGATGTCCATCATACTACACTTCTAACCAGAATCTCAAAAATCTTATCCATTACTGAGGCTGGCTGCAGACTCTACAGTTAGTCCTATTGAGACCTAACAATCTAAGCTTTCTTACAGGACCCCACAGAGATACTGTCAACCCCCTAAACAGAAGGAAGCAATTCTAAGAAAATAACCCCCCTCTCCCAAAGGTTTCATTTTTCTCAGGGTTATGGATGGATGGTTATAGGGTTGGGGGTGGAACAGTAAAATTTGGACTCAGTATTCTCCTTTAGAAAAGAAAAAGGGGAATGGATAGGTATAGGATATTAAGGTAGATTATTGTATTTACTAGTAAACTAATTCAGTAAAATATCAGTCTTAGATAATTTGCACAGATATGAATTCTTGTATATTGATACAAATTTAAACCATTCTTATATTCCTATTTAAGATAATTTGTATATTGATACAAATACAAAACTATATTTGTTGTATTGTACGCATATTCCTACTTCTGTTTGAAATATTTTGTATATTGATACAAGTATAGTATTATATTTATCATACTGTATATATGTTCTACCTCTGTTTAGGATATTTTGTATATTGATACATATTAAGGATATTATTGTCATATTGCATATTATACTATACATTTCTACCTCTGTTTAAGATATTTTGTGTATTGTCACAATTTTGAGGTCATTATCCTTATATGATACATCTGCTTACAGATGGTTTACCTTGTTAATGTGAAGCCTTAGTCCTTAAGTTATTTTGGTGGATAAGATTTATAGAACTATAGTCACTCATGCTTGCCATTTCTATAGTTATATTAGTTAGGTTGTCCAGATTTACAGAAACATATGTTAGATGGATAGGTAATCTTCAAATAATTCATAGACCTAGAGAATATGGCATGTAAATATTTTGATAACTTAGAATTCTGTTGACATGAGACAGGATTACTCCTGGAAGCATTGATCTGATCCTAAGACAATGTTGGGCTTCAAGGACACTCCATATGGAAGCTTGTCTTCTTCTTGGTACAAAATGGCTTGCTGGGCAAAGAACTGTCCTTTCCTTGACTGCTGACAGCATGTACACTGTCCTTTCTGGACAAGCAGGACACAAGGAAAAGTGACTGCTGAACCTTACCAAGACAGGGTAAGATGGTCTTTCAAAATTCCTTATGATCTATTTATTTTCCCAGAGTCTCCCCAACATTAGGGTCAAGCTTGAACATCTGGAGAAAAGGCTCCTAACCCCATAGGCACAAGTCTTAGCACTGGTCTTTAAGGTATACCATGTGATAGATGAAAAAGCTCATAAATAAAAATACCAAATGCTGGCCAAGGCCATCTGACCAGCTTCAGCAACTGCTCACATTCCCTTGTTCCCTGGGGCTCGAGGACCACTGAGTCCCTGCTTCAATGTGGTCAGGAGGGTCACTGGGCCCAGGCTTGCCCTAATCCCTGCATGCTACCTGGGCCCAAAGTGTCACCAAGAGGGACATTGGGCTGTTGACTGGCCCCATGCCCCTTGGTTTTTCGAGACAGGGTTCTCTGCATAGCTTTGCGCCTTTCCTGGAACTCACTTGGTAGCCCAGGCTGGCCTCAAACTCACAAAGATCTGCCTGGCTCTGCCTCCCGAGTGCTGGGATTAAAGGTGTGTGCCATCACCACCCAGCTGGGAGCTTCTATGTCTTTTGCTCCCCGCCATTCACCTGACCCCAAACTTGCCAGCAGCCCCTCTCCTCCTCCTCCTAGCCACTCACCCTACTGGTTCCAACATGTTGTTTCCTCGGCCAGCCTCCCAGGTGGACCCCTAAGTCTGGGACACCCCAAGCCCCTCTGTGCTAGACACCATTCCCCCTTATCGTCCCATTACAGGGCTCTACACAGTACATTACTCAAGCCCAGTACCCACTCTCACTTCAGAGCCTTAGGGAACTTAAACCCATCATCTCTGACCTCCTAAGGAAAAAAAAACTACTTTATCCCACATCTCCTTTTAACACCCCTATATCTGCAGTTAAAATGTCTAATGGGACCTACCCCCTGATTCAAGACCTCCAGCTCATTAATTCTGCAGTGGTTCCCCTCTAATGGTGATTAACCCTTATGTACTCCTCCCCACTACCCCCTCAGGAACTTCCCATTTCTCAGTTCTGGATCTCAAGGATGTTTGTCTATCCCTCTTAGCACTCAGTCTCAAAACATCTTTGCTTTCACCTGGACTGACCCTGACACCCAACTCTCTACTCAGCTCACTTGGACTGTCCTGTCCCAGGGGTTCCAGGACAGCCCACACCTATTTGGCCAGACCCTGGCTTCTGATCTACTCTGTCTCTCCCCAAATCTAATCTCATTTTACACTATGTAGATGACCTTCTCCTCTGCAGTCCATCTCTACAAATTAGCCAAACTGAGACCTCTGCTCTTCTAAATTTCTTGTCTAGCTGGGGTTATAGAGTCTCACCCTCCAAGATACAACTGTCCACTCCTCAGGTCACCTAATTGGGACTAACCATAACCCCAACCTGCAAAGCCATTAACTTTTGATAGAAAACACCTAATCCAGTCTCTTGCAGTCCCCTCTACTAAAGAGGAGATTTTATCATTCTAGGAATAGCTGGCTTCTTAAGTTCCTGGATCCCCTCTTTTTCCCTCCTTGCCCACCCCTTATATGAAGAGCCCTTGGTCCCTCACATGAGCCCCTCACTCCCATTACTGAGCCCTTTCAGAAGCTCCAGCAGGCCCTCCTCCAGGCCCCAGTACTTAACTTCATCTCCCAGACTTAACTCATCCCTTCTCCCACTATGTAACAGAAAAAGAGGGATATGCCCCTGGGGTCCTAGGCCAACAACTGGGACCTTCCTTTGTACCCGTAGCATACCTGTCAAAAACCTAGACCTTGCCACGCAGGGATGGGCACCCTATGTACATGCTTTAGCAGCTGCTGAGCTCCTTATTTGTGAATCAAAAAAACTAACCTTGAGTCACCCACCATTATCTTCTCCTCCCACAACCCGTCCCATTTCTTAACTTACAAAGGCTTACAAACTCTACCTTCTTCCCAGGTTCTTTGTCTCTAGGTGGCACTAGTAGACGATACCACACTTCCTTTCCGATCTTGCCCCCCACCAATATCTCAAACTTTCTGCCTTGACCAAACGCTGACCACTCCCCATCTCATTCCTGCACTGAAACCCTAGAGAAACTACTGCCCCATCCCTTACACATGCAGGAGGGTACATTGAGTCAAGCCATCTATACCTGGTACACAGATGGCAGCTCCTTTTTACGTGAGGGTACCCGAAAAGCAGGCTATGCCATAGTGTCAGACACTGAGGTGGTTGAGGCACAGGCATTCCCCGCCCACACTACTAACCAACAAGCTGAACTAATACCTCTCACCCATGGCTTCCACTTGGCACAAGGACAATCCCTAAATGTTTAGACAGACTCCAGATGTGTTTTTCATATCCTCCTGTCCCCCTCTGCCATCTGGAATGAGTATGGGCTACTTACAATGAAAGAAGGCTTCATAACTAACTCAGGTCAAAATATGGCCACGTTAAAAGCCTCCCATCTCCCCACAGCTACAGGAATTATTCACTGCTGGTCTCATTAGACTGACAGCTCCATCTTCTCTAAGGGAAATTGCTGAGCTGACTAGGCCCAGACTCACCTCACCCACTACAGAGAATCCGTGCACTACGACCCACATCCCCACTGTCGCCCCCTGACACTTGACAAATTCTGTCCTATCTACACCAACTCTTTCATCCTGATAGCCAGGCTCTGTCTCACTTTGTCAAGACCCACCTCCAGCCCACCCCTGAGGACTTGCATTTCTTAAGAACTATTACTGCCCCTTTAAAATCTGTCAAATGTCAGACCCCGTTTTCAGATGCTGCTGCTCTCCTTTTCCTACCCACCAAGCCAGAGGATTGCTCCCAGGGACTGACGAGCAGCTTGAGTTGACCACATGCCCACAGTCAGACAAGTTAAGTACCTCCTGGTCCTAGTGGAAAACATTCTCAGGCTGGGTGGGGGCATTCCCAATCACTAACAAAAGGGCTCAGACAGTCTCTGACCTCCTTCTCCAGGAGATTATTCTCCAATTTGGAATCCTTGCCTTCCTCCAGGTCCTGAAATCACCTTCCAGATTCCCCAAACCTTATCCAAAGTCCCCAGCATTCCTTGGCATTTTCATACCCCATACCACCCCCAGTTCTTAGGAAGGACAGTACAAACTAACCACTCCTTAAAAAACATCATTGTTAAAATGCCAAGGGAACATTACCTAGATTGAGTAAAGCTCCTGCTTCTGGCTCTTTTTAGGCTCCCAAGCAACCCCTTTCAATCTCACCATTTAAACTCGGGAAGCTGGTTCTACTCCTGGTCTCTTATCGAAACCCTCACCTCTCCTGATAACCTATTCATTCCCTTACTCTATCATCTCCACTTTCTTCTATGGAACTTTACTGACCACTCCCTACCCTGACCATGTGCCAACCTCTGTCCATCCCTAATCAACACTGGGGACCAAGTCCTTCTCTCTCCTCTAGCCCCTTTCCCCTCCCCTCCTAAATGGCAGGGTCCCTTTCAAGGGAATTCTTGTAACTCCCACAGCTGCTAAGTTGAGGGCCTCTCTCACTGGATTCATTTATCTCATCTCAAGCCCTTTAATTCCTCACCTCAAGATCACTTTTCTTCATACACATCAACCCCAACAGGACTCTGCTCCCTTAACTTCCAGAGGATGAGAGCAACTGTCTTGTTTCCAATTCCAAAAGAATGAGGCTTCACCCAGCAGTCATACTCAACTCTACCAAACTGAGAATCACACATGGAAGAGAATGCTTTCCTTCCTGACTCCTCTCCTCATTCTCCTGATTCTACTAATCACACCCTGCTTCATCAATTTCTTCTCTATGTATTTCCAATGACACATTCAAATTTCTCTAGTCAAACAACTAATTAGCTGTTGTTACAGGACTGCCAAGCATTAGCCACAGAGCTGGAGGCATAAAGACCACCAAACATGTCAGGTGGGTAAGAAACAACAGTGTTTCACAAATTCCTAAAGGTCTTATAATAAAAACCTGGAGCCAGATATTGGGGTAAATGCTGAAAGATCAGAGAGACAAAGGAACAAGTCACTAGAGTAATTTCTCACCACTACTAAATTCTCAGGCCAAATGGAAGGTGAGATCCTATCTCCACAAATCCTCAGACTGCAAGCCTCTGAGTCCTCAGCTGAAAATGACTTTTTTAGTTCCCGTCTCCTCAGGCCTTATATGCCTTTCCTGGCCATTTCACTTCCTTCCCAGTACTGGGATTAATGGCGTGTGTGCTCCCCAGATACTGGCAGCAAAGGCACGAGATCTTAAGTGCTGGGATTAAAGGCTTGTGACTCTCAAGTACTGGGATTAAAGGTGTGTGCCACCACTGCCTGACTCTCAATCTCATATAGTTCAGGGTGGCTTTGAACTCACAGAGATCCAGATGGCTCTCTGCCTCCCGAGTGCTAGGATTAAAGGTGCATGCCACCACTGCCTGGCCTGTATGTTTAATCTCACTAGATTAAATCTGATCCTCAGAGCCAGCTTTATTTGATACACAATATATCACCACACAACAGCACCCCAGAGATATCCACATCATCCACACTAAAAAAAAAAAAAAAAAAAAAAGGAGACTCACAGAACAGATTTCATTGTACTTCTTAACTATTGACTGCCCTCATCAACCAACGACCTGTGTCTCCTGGGTGTCAAGGTGATGCCATGGTAATGGAAAGGAACAGGTGCTTTAAGGTTTGTTTCGGTGAAGATGGTAAAGTTTCAGTGGTGATAAGAAAAAAGTGATTTGAGATATATAAAAGAATGCAACATGTTCCAGATTTCTCCCTCGTGCTATGCTACTGTTCACAGCCTTAACATTAAACAGTGGAATTCTGAGAAGCCATTAATCTCGCTCTGGCAAAGTACAAATACTATACTATACAACTATATTATCATAGCCACAAGCTCAGGGTTTAAAATCCCCTTTGGTTGCTTCCCAATGACTAAAAGTATGCTTGCTGCCTTTTCTCCATGTGGATTTCTATACAGATTATAAACAATGGGAATGCTAATGTGCCTAAAACTTACCTCTTTTTGTAAACTCAAAATTTCTTGTTAAGCTCCAGGGAGTCAACTTGGATTCACCTCGAACAGGTCAGATGCACCCTAGGGAAGTACTGTCCCCACCCTCCCCTGACCTTGGGACTCCCCACCAGGACCTAAGGGAAAAAAATTTCCCCTAAACGTAACTTTATCTTCTGCCCTGTCAGCCTCTTGCCAGGTCCAAGCTGTACCAGATGATTCCACAGAACCTAGACAGCAGTGAAACAACCAGCTACCTCAGGACGTGGCCAGCTCCCCCAGCTTTCTCGGGTCTCCCAAAGACGACCAACACCGCCCAGGTCAGCAGGAAGCGGTCTCCAGAACTCGGTATCCTCACTCCCGCCTCACCTGCTACCCCTTCCCAACTCCTCACCTTTTATAACAAACAGAAAGGAGGAACGTTAGCATTCAGGCATTATGCTGGCCTGCCCTTGGGACCTGGCAGGGTATGTCATCCCTGCGTGCCTGTGCTTATCAGCATTCAGGCATCACGCTGGCCTGCTCGGGGTCCTCAGAATACATCATCCGCTATGTTGCTATGTAGTTCCTGTGCACATGCACTACACCCCCTTATAAAAGGTGGACCAGCCACTTCTCCCTCAGAGGCTGGTCTCTGCGCCCTTTCTCTCCCCTTCCCCAATAAACAAACCTCCCTCTTGTTGTATGGTGTTCTACAATAGCAGCGTTGTGGAGTAGCAGCGACTTCTTCAAAATGGCCTACTGCAGCTGTTCTGGTGGAAGGCAGAGAAGGGAGGATTTTCTCGGCAGCTGTATCTCACGGGTACCCCTAGAATCCCTGTTTGTATGCACATCAGCTCAGTGACGAGCCCAGTGTTCATGGGGTGTTCTTTCTTTGGACCCTGTCTCCTTCTGTCTTGCTGCTTTTGTTCCTTGAGACTAGCGCAAGCTTTTTGCTTTCTCACCCACCCTCCCTTCTTTCTTCTGCGTTCTAGCCAGAAGGCACAGACTGGCCTGAGGCAGGCAGTCTCCATTACTTCAGCCTTCTGAGTGCGGTAACAGATAAATGAAATAAGGAAGGCAATACAGCATAAGAAAGAAAAGTACAATTAAGAGGCAGAAATACTGGAAATAATAATAAAATTGAAATTTTGGATATGAACAACTAAGTTAAACAAAAAGAAATCTTAATCGGAAGCCTCACCCAGAAAATGGCTTAAATGGAAGACTGAATATCATGGCAAATCATGGGCATAGAAGTAGAAGAACCCTGTTGCACTAACAAATTCCTCTCAAGTGGCTGCCTTGAGGGGATTTCTATCAGGGGCCAGAACAGATGCTACAAGTGGCTAAGGATTCTAATCTGAGGGATATTCAATGAATCTAAGCATACTGAGTTCGTTACTCCATGCATTTTATTCTTCTAAGTCAATTCTATCTACACAGTTTCTTTTCTGTTCTCATACTTAGCTCCTCTCGGTCCCTCCTGCTCTCAGTCCCTTCTGCTGTTCTCTCATCATTCTACCTAGTTCTTTCCATTTCCGTCCTCATCTCTGTTCTTCTCAATCAATTCTCTTCCTGTTCTTTCATCTCTATCTAGGTGTTTTCCATCTTCTCTCCTTCTTTGTTGCCCCAAGCATGCATATAAATACACACACACACACACACACACACACACACACACACACACATTCATTAACAACTTGTTAGTAAAAACTACAAAGTAAACTCTCAGGGACAAGTATTCTGATAGGAGTCACATTTGGTAAAGACTTGGTCAACTTAATTGGTGATTGACAACAGCTGTAGATTGTAAAAAATTCTGGCTATCTCTTAAAGGGATCGCTACAAAGGTTACAAAGAAAGAAATTAAACCAATGAGAGATTTAAGGAAAAGGCAAAGAATATGTTTGCTATTTTATGTGATTAATAATAACCAGATATGGTTAGTCAGTTAACAGCCTTTTTCTGTTAGTCACCTGAATCTCAGGACCTATATATAATTAGTCTACTGAACCTAAAATCTTGCATTAAAAACTAGTGTAGAGCCAGGCGGTGGTGGCGCATGCCTTTAATCCCAGCACTCGGGAGGCACAGCCAGGCAGATCTCTGTGAGTTCGAGGCCAGCCTGGGCTACCAAGTGAGTTCCAGGAAAGGCGCAAAACTACACAGAGAAACCCTGTCTCGAAAAAACAAAACAAAACAAAACAAAACAAAAAAAACTAGTGTAGAAATAAATACAAAGTGTTGTTATTTGAATCAGAGTGGGGAGGTGCTAGTGGAGGAAGTTTAGGGTAACATAGGTGCTATTGATCTCTTGAAGGACTACGATATACCAAGGCCAGACATCTGCACTATCACTTCTGGTTCACTATAATTCTGAAGAGTTTTGCTCTAACAAGGTCAGGCAACTGCAATTCCACTCTGTGAAAATTCTATGAGGACGCTTTGTCTGGCCAATATTTACCTTGTCAGTGACTAAGGATGGAGAGGAAGACCTCTAAGTGTCTACAGTCCACATGGAACAATAGACCTGCATGAAGCATATTTAGTAAACCATCTTCTAGACTATCCACAATGAGATGCAATCATGAGATTACATGTACACATTAACATGGAAATGCACAGTAAATGGGGAGAATCATAGCTGTTATTGCGCAAAAAGTTTACAACAAGAGAGAGCCAGTTCATTCAAAAGGCCTTGTGTGATGGTTCCCTCTAACAGAACCCTTAGTTCTGATAGGTTGACCTTCTGAACTCTAGCTGTCACTGCTGTATACTCTCATGGACTATTGCTACCAGTGGCTCTCAATATTGCATGAATCCTTAAATGGTCTTTTAAAACCTGGAGTCAGATATTGGGGTAAAGGCTGGAAGATCAGAGGAAATGAACCACAGCCACTTGCCAACTCCTCAGCCAATCTTGTCTCCACGAATCCTCTGAATGAATGCCTCTGAGTCCTCAGCTGAAAGGTCTCCTCATGCCTTATATTCCTTTCTCTGCCCAGCCATTTCATTTCCTGTCTCAACCTTCCTAGTGCTGGGATTAATGGCATGTGTGCTTCCCACATACTGGTAGCAAAGGCATGAGATCTCAAGAGCTGAGATTAAAGGTGTGTGCCACCACTGCCTGGCCTCTATGTTTAACTCTGGCTGGCTCTGTCCTCTGGTCTTTAGGTAAATTTTACTAGAGTACAACAAAATATCACCACCAAACCCTTCTTCCCTGTGTGGTATTCGTCTTTCTGAGTCTGGCATAGAGAAACGTACACAGCTGTTTACTGCAGCCTTGTTTCCTTCAGTTTCATAGGCTATCCAATAATCCCGTTCTTTCTAGACGCAAAGCAAACAATTGGTATTTCAGGAATGAACCTTTTTGGACTAGGTTTGACAGCTAATGATTTGCCACAAGCACTCTCTGAAGACACATTTTCAATTATGAGTCCCACACAAAGAGAAAGGGACTAAAGCTGTGAGGTGCTTAGAGCGTGCTTTCTTACAAATATGATTGTTCTTTTTGTGTGTGTTTATCCTGGAAACAGAACTGAGGATTGATTACATTTCAAAGTCCTTTCATGGTGTCAGTTGATACCACATCCACTCACCTCCTGCCAAAGTAAACACTGTCATTTTCATGTCCAATTAAGGCTAGGGGGCCAGGATTGCCTCCAGTGTCTTACCTCTGGATTCTTCTGTTGTAATGTCCTTCAGCTTTCCCCTACAATCTCTGAAAGCTTCTGTGTACCCTTTCACATAAGAGTGATTTAAACATTGAATGCAAGAAAAATAAACTAAGGAAGGAAAAGAGGGGAGCACAAGAGACTAGACATTGTGAGAGCTCTGTTTGCTCTGGCTAACACCCCCTTGACTTTGTTTTTATCCTTTCAGCCTGACTTGGTGACCCAGGAGCTGCAGGTGCTCTCGTATATCACCCCCGCACCCCCCCACACACACATGGACTTGAGTCATATATATAGTCTTCCTTCTGAGAATACTCAACTCGCATCTACATGGATCGCAACTTCAGTCTCAGAAGCCATCCACTGTGGAATCTGAGAGTCAAGGTTAATGGATGGGCCACTCTCACTACTCCTTGGCAGATTTTATCCTTTCATGGAACACATAAATGCCAAGCAGTGAGGCTATTTTTCAATAAAACGTATCCAACTTTATATTTCTGATCAAGTGAGTCTTTTATTAGCTTATAAAAATATACTCTTTGGCTCTTCCTTAAGGCATTCCTACAAACAAACATATTTTACTTTCTCCTAGCTATGATCCAATATTTTTTGCCCCATCCCCACCCCATGAAGCCTATTCAAACCAATATCACTGTATCACTTTTTGGTATTCTGAATTTCTTCCATTCTTAGTTTTTATTGAGTATTAGATATGGAAGCATGGGAATGTAAAAAATGATGACTGAATGAATGAGAGAATGATGACTAATACATAGGAAAAAATGTTTTATTTATCAGTTCTTTGAAAATACAAAAACAATGTTTTTCTTAGGAAGTCCTAAGAACAGGACTCCGGTAAAACACTTTATTCATGGTGTCCTCAGTCATTTTGATAATCTGTAGTAGTGAAAAGAAAAGAACATTAACATGGACTTGGGTTTCCATGAGCAAGCGATGTCCCTGCCTCTAAGTATAAATAGGGTGGAATCCAAGGCAGTTCAATGAACGCAGGAGGAAACGAGACCCATTACAGATAATTACCCAGCCAGTAGTGCTAGTGCTGCAAACTAGCTGAGAGCTGAAGAGGCACCAGGCCTCTCCAACACATGTTTTTCTATAATAATATGCAATATAAGCAAAATGATTTCTTAGAGGAATGTTTATGTAGACTTTCTTGGAGGAGGAAATTTGGGAGACAAACCAGAGGAATTCTGGCTATCCTTTACAGGAGTATGAATCGTTTACCTTTGTGGCAAGGAGCACTGTACTCAGCAACTGCAAACTCCTCTGAGAGAAAGAGAAAACAGAAACAAACACCATTATGTGATGTCACTATGAGCATCGGCGATTGCATCAGAAATGCCCATGTCATTCCCCTGATGCACTTTTTGCTGCCTTGGGCATCCTTCCAGGTACAATGAGCCACATTTTCTTTTACTCCAGATTCTTGACAGTCAGTTGTTATACGTCCTTAAATCTCATATTGTCCTACAATTGGTCTATCCAACAGGAAGTTAACTGTGCAGCTGTTTGGTTTTGCTGGTTGATATATTTAAAATGTGCTTTCTCCCACAGAAGTAAGGAGATTAAAAAGTCAAGTATCCAACCTGATGGAGACAACACTAAGTGATGAGAAGCCAGTACTAACAAGTCACCCAACACATTCTTGAGTCCTGTGATCGGAAGTTGGATTTCTCTGTTCAGGCAGCTCCCACTCACCTTTCTCATAGTAATCATAGACCTTCACTATGGCTGGCTTCAAGTCTCTTATTAGAATATCTTGCTGAACCATGAAGGACAAGTTTATCCTTTCACTTGACACCTGGAAATCAAAAGGAGCTCAATGACTTTCCTGGGAGCTTTCTTCTCACTTTGAATAAACAGATAAGTATTGATTAGGGCCTTAGGGGGTGGGGGCTTTATCTGCTAAAAGTGTGGTGCATGGTGTAGAAAGCCTCAGAGTAAATGAGGAAAATTACTTCTTAAATATCTAACAAAACTTCATCACTACATAGGCCTCAATCCAGTGGTTCTCAACCTTCCTAATGCTGTGATCCTTTAATACAGTTCTTTATGTTGTGGTGACCCCCAACCATAACATTATTCCATTGCTACTTCATTACTATAATTTTGCTACTGTTATGAGTCAGAATGTAAATGTCTGATATGCAGGATATCTGATATGTTGACCTCCAAAGGAGTCATGACTCACAGGTTGAGAACTGCTGCATTAATCAACACCAGCACATGGCTCTGTTCATGGTGTGTGTGTGTGTGTGTGTGTGTGTGTGTGTGTGTGTGTGTGCATATTGTGTGCACTCCAGCTTTCTGTTAACTACCTATTATATCTTCTTTTAAATTTCAGAGGTTTAGTATAGTTTTGCCTTTCCATTTTGTAAAAATACAGATACTATAAAGATGAACTATAAAAGATGAATCACTGCTGCTTTGTCAACTGAAATTCCTCTCTACAGAGGTCTAACTATGCTACTGCACCTATCTTCTCGATTATTAGTCCATGGGGTAGATTGGTGTTTTACTATTATGCGGTCCAAGTGCCAGCTGAGATTGATGGCATTTTCTCCTTTTATACTGTTGGTGAAGATGATAATGTAATGACTGACTGATCACAATAATCATTTCCCTGCATTATTCAGTATCTCTAAGCTAACTGGTTGATATAATGAAAACTGTTATGGAGAATGTCTTACAGGTCCCTGGAAGTATTCATACCCCAGGAATATCATGTGGCATTTTTACTCACAGTCTCAGATGGAATATCTCCAAAGAGGGGGCAGCCACTGTAACACTAGAATTCTCATATCTCTAGCATTGAGGTGATGACTCTATAATACATACACTCAGTTTCCAGACAGCTCCTGGAGGATTCTATTCTACGTGTTTTGCACCAGACAGTTAGGGCTCTCACCTTCTCCATGTAAATCAAGACATGATCATTGCTGACTTCTGTCCGGCTCACATCCATAGATATTTCAAGCTGGAGAAAATGGAGACATCACAAATGTTAATAAATAGATGAAATCCCTGGAGAATCCAGGGAAAATAAAATTATTATCAAAATACTGAGGGTAGAATTTCTTCAAAGGTCCCTTATAGATAAAAAAAGTAAAAGTGAAAATGAAAGGTAGTTTGGATGAAGGGCATACTATTAGTGTGGCATATGGTACACTTGTAAAGCTGATGTATCTGAAGAGAGGGAATTACTCATTGTTCAAGTTTCAAGTAACATTTTATTTATTCATGAAGGAGATCTTTTTCTTTGTTTTTTTCCTCTAACTTAAAACAATTTCATTTTCACTTAACATCTGTGTTACAGAAGTTTATGACATCAGTCATTTTCTTATTATTTCACTAGTTGATATTCACATGCTTTATCTCCTTAAGATTCTAAGATCTAAGCAGTTAGACAACTGTTGAAGGGGACAATGGGCCCCATAACTGGTTATCCATCACTGAGTGATCAACTATGAAACCATATACACACAAGCAACAGGAAATGGACTTAGCAAGTTGTATTTCTATATTTATGTGTTTATATATGTATACATATACATAAAAATATGTAACAATTGGGCCGGGCGGTGGTGGCACACACCTTTAATCCCAGCACTCGGGAGGCAGAGGCAGGCGGATCTCTGTGAGTTCGAGGTCAGCCTGGTCTCCAAAGCGAGTTCCAGGAAAGGCGCAAAGCTACACAGAGAAACCCTGTCTCGAAAAAACCAATATATATATATAACAAAGAAAAAGGGGCCAAGAATTTGAGAGAAAGCAAAGGGGGAATGTGGGAGAGGGTGGAGGGAAGAAAGGGAAGGGAGAAAATAATGTAACTATATTTTAATTAAAATAAGAAAATAAAGAGAAAAAAGATAACAAGTTTCCCTGGTAGCCATGATATCTAAACAATGCTACATACACAAGCATAAACACTTCATTTGGAGAAGGCATAAGTCTTTAAGACCTAATGTAGTAGCATTTTAATAAATATGACCTTGGTCTGCTAATGAATAACATAAAATGAAATGTGCTATCCTGGGATTATAGTGAACATACCATCTTCACTGTTGGTTTCAAGGGGACGAAGCCAGACACCATCTTCACATCAGCAATTGCCATGTTGGAGTTAAAACGGCTTCCAATGTAACTGAAGATCCAGGGAAGGAAGACTTAGGTTTTCCTGTATTATTTAATATTCTTTTTCTATATCTATATATTGAATATTCCATGATTCCACAAAGTATATATAAGACTTTCCAAGGATCCTGGAACACTTTCTATGTGTTGGAATTTGTATAGAACTTAGTAAATCCATAGAGATCAGATCTGGAATCAGAATTTTAAGTATGTGGACTCAGATCTGTGTTTTAAGGAAGCTTCACAGGTGACATGCCCTCAAGGCCTCCAATCTATACTAGGTTTTTGTTATTCTCACTTTATCTCCACGGTTCCCCGAGTAGGGTAGCCAGCCAACCCACAAGGGTCTTGTGGATACATTTTTGTAAGTGCTGTGGCCACTTGACTACTGCTATGGACAACTGTGCTGTTTTTTCTAACAGATTATACTATAGATAACTAGATTTACTGATTGACGGTGGAATTACAATGGATGAGCCACTGCTTCCTTTGATTTCAGACTTCCAAGAAGTTTTTCTTTTGTGAAGACCAAGATTACTATATAATTTCGTTATATAGAAGGAATTCAAGAAATAGACGAGGGGTGAAATCGCTCATTTATTTATTACCAGGAGTTAAGTAGTTACCTGAAGGAAGAGGGCAGATGACATGAGCTCCACTTCTGAGAAACTTGATTTTACCAACTTAAGAGAACAGCTTATTTTTTCAAACAGATTCAAATGTTTACTGTCCAACAGCTTTGCTTAGTGAGAAGTTCCAGTAAGAAGATGGATTGTTCCCCTCCCCCACCCCGAATTATGAAAATGAGTCTTACCTGATGTTAAGTAAGATCTGGAAGCTGGTGTGAGGTTTGTGATCATGACAAATATGAGGCAGAGTTTGCACCACTAAAGCAAATGGGAACCCCTTTTCTTCTGGTTGGACATTGTATTTCAAGGATGTCTATGGAACATTCAAGACAGGCATCAATTTTTCTCCTTTCCTCAGAATTCCCCTCAACTCCCTCGACTCTTTCTCTGACTTGGCCATTTGCTTACTGGGTTATGATTTTCCAGGGAGAACAATGCCTGGGACCCTCCTCCTCTGCCCCAGTCTTACCTGAAGGTACACACACCCTGCTCCTGTCACCTCTGTGGTGTAATCCCCAGGCACAGTCGGCAATGAGACCCTCTGTAATAATAACTGGTTGCCGTTGTTCACTTGGAATTTTGTAGAAAATAAATCTGTAGAATAGATGGTCACCTGTGCAGCTTTCTTAGCTCCTGTGAAAGTAGCTATTCCATATTTGGATAAAGCCTGCAAAGCCACCACTGTGTCCTGAAAGAGGAATGGCACACCTC